TGGTACAGGGTACCTGAACTAGCCAAAGGGATATTCCATGAAATAGAACATCATGCCCAGTATATAAATGGGGATGGGCCAATCTGGGTTGGCCAAAGGAAGGGTGACATCAGTCTGTGGTTAGTGAGCAATTGTATTGTGCATCACTGGTTTTGTTTTACTGGTTTTTGGTTTTGCTTTCCCTTTTTATTATCCATTAGTACTTTATCTCATTTAGTTCTCAATTACTAAACTGTTCCTAACTCAACCTATATATTTTACTTTTGTTTCCCTTTCCCACTCCACTGGGGTGGGGGGAAGAGGGGAGGAAGGAGTGTGAGCAGCTGTGTGGTTCTTGGCTGCTGGCTGGGGTTAAACCACAACATCATGGTTCAGCTTCCATGAATATCTCAGTGCTAATACTTTTAACACTTTTATATTTCACTCTAGATGAACACAATTTAAATAAATACATGAATAGTTAAATAGACAGTGTTAGATGTGAACAGTGGATTTTAAACCAAATTTAGAAAGTTTGAGTGCCTAATGAGTTCTCCTGGTGATACATAACATTTCAGTAATGCTAAAATTTTATATTAGTTATTTTAGTAACATTTTAGTCACCATATACTAATTATGTAATCACAGACTAATTTAATAATACTAAAATGTGATTTTGTTTTTCTTGAAATCTTCCTAGATATACCTGCATTATTTATTAACTCTTTTACATACTTTGTAACATACAGGACAGGTTTTCTGACTTAATGAAAAGTAGTTGTGGATTTTGGTTTTTTTGTTGGTTAGTAGTTTGAATGTCTTCATACATGTGAAATGTTTTTTCCTCATGTTCCTGATTTGTAATCTTTTAGACTTTTTTGGTTTTAGTGTTTGGTGAACCCATATGGTTACTATACAGTTATATACCGTAGGGGTGTTGTTATATAGCGTTGACAGAAAGGATGCATGCATTTATTGTAGAAGAGGTGGTAATGCATGCACTTTCCTCCACTTGTTCACTGCTATTAGAATTAGCGGCAAATATTTTCTTCATTTTGTTTTTAATGCAGTGCAGTATCTCTTCCTATTTAAGGTACTTCCTTTCCCAAGGATACATATACTGTTGCAGTCTGACCTGTGCTAAGAGTACTTTGTTAGTATAGGTCAATGTGTCAGCAGCTCACTTCCGCTGTGGACACCTGAGCAACTTAACATTCTCCATAAGAGGCTTTTCCTGTGTCACTTGGGTAGGAACTGCTCTTTGTATCCATACTAATGCATAAAAATGTATTAGATGTGACTAAGTGTTAACTAGATAATTCTTTTGTTTACATCTTAATTATGGGGAAAAAAGTGTTTTTTTCTTACGAGGAGGAGACTTTGACTTTGACTCTGTAGCGCTTATTGGACTGTCTTACTTGTGGATTCTTTTGGCAAGAAGAACAAGCTTTTACATGAATTGCACAATATTCTGACCACTGTCAATATAGGCATGCTTTAAGTCTCACCAAATTTATAAGCAGTGTTACCGGCTTGCAGTTGTCATTAGGTATCAGAAGAGCATAGCTGACCAAATTTTTGGAGTCTTGACTATGCTCCGTTTGATGATAACCAAAGAGCTAGTAATGCTCTAATCAACTTTCTGTTGTAGGTCCACTAGAATTACTAGTAAGGGCTTTCAACTAGTATACAAGTTACAACTGCATTCACAAATGCATATTTTAAAAATTCAACCCTTATTTCAGTATCATTCAGGCATAAGAAAAAAACGACTGCAAAAAGAGAGTAAATAATTGTGCCATTTAGCCCAGAATGTCATAGAACAGATTTGTTTGTTCTTCTAGCAGATCCTGTTTCATAGGTGATCCCCTCAGAAAATTTCCATATTCAGAAATGCTGTTGTGTTTTTTTTTGCTGTGCTCTGTTGTTGTGGTTTTGCCTGTTTCACTTTACATGCCACTTTTGTTAACATTTTTAATTTCCTAGGTATGGAATCCGCCCTGAAAATGTGATTATATATGGCCAGAGTATAGGAACAGTACCATCTGTGGACCTTGCTGCTAGGTATGAAAGTGCTGCTGTAATTCTTCATTCTCCACTGACCTCAGGAATGCGAGTAGCTTTTCCTGATACAAAGAAGACCTACTGCTTTGATGCATTCCCAAAGTAAGTTGTAGGATTTTTTTTTTCATTCTGCATGCATTTTTCTCTATTACAGAAGTTGTTAACTAGAGAAACAAGTAGTCTGGCAAATTCTCTGAATTTTTTCAAGGGTTTAATAAAACAGTTGGAGAAAAATCAGAGTGGATAACAACAGTGGAACAAAGGAGTTTACAAAACTTCATAAACCTTCTAAGTTTTTCACACCCCTAATCTTTCCCTGGGTATCTGTAAGAGAAGTAATAAGTTTTCCTAGTCCACTGAATTGTTAAGAAAATTCCTGTCATGTATTTCAGAACAATGCCATTGTGTTCATAGATACAATCTTTTTCTTACAGCATTGACAAAATTTCTAAAATTACATCTCCTGTGTTAATAATCCATGGGACTGAGGATGAAGTAATTGACTTTTCGCATGGCCTAGCATTATTCGAGCGTTGCCAGAGACCTGTAGAACCACTGTGGGTAGAAGGAGCAGGCCATAATGATGTGGAACTCTATGGACAATACCTTGAAAGATTAAAGCAGTTTGTGTCACAGGAACTGGTGAACTTATAATTTTCTTTGTATATTTATGTGCTTTTTCATTTCACTGCAGAACTGCACACCTTGATAAATATGTAACATAAAACCTGAATGTTGTGTTTTCAAATCATCTTGGTTGCCTTCATTAAATGTACAGTTAATGATTTGTCAACATAATTAATGAAGGTTTTAATGCCAGTATTATAAACTGGAATTACATGATCATTCAGTCAAACTTGGCGTTCATATTATGTTCTGTGAGGTTTTTTCTTCTTATATGTAAAAAAAAAATCACAAGTACTGTAAGAAATTATAAGTATATAAAATGAAATGCTGCAAAAGCATTGCCAAGTGCTTTAGCATATAAAACCCAAGTTTATAAATATTTTTTAAACATCTCAAAATGTACTGTGACTTACTCTGTTGCACAGGTGTAATTAAAGAAACAGACTTCTAAGCAGTTGTTCTGTAAAAATGTAATAGCCATGAAATTTGAGCAAATACTAATGTATATAGTAAGAATTGACAGTCACTGGAAATGACCCATGCCCTGTTATAGGGGGAGGGGGTCAAAATAATATCTCTTCCCATATTTTTCATATCTATCTTTCTGAGTTTTACTTCAGTTATTTTTGTTCTTGTGTTGTCACTTACCTTTCAGATTAGAAAAATTTGCCCTCCCATCTTCTCAGCGGTCCTAATCTTGCAAGCATCATTCACATGATTGATACTGAGGCCACAAAATACTGCTTTGAAACCAGTAAGACTTTTAGAACCTTGAAGACTTTGTGGACAATGTAGTTTTAAACATTGATTCTGTAGGGATGCAGTGTTTCATTAAAAAGAACCTGGAAGTTTATCTACATTGCAATAAACAATTTATAAGTTTGCAGTTGTCTTATCAGGCTCACTTTTGTATGTCTAGTGTAAAATCTTATTGTTTTTTGAGTATTGTATGGAAATTCCACTAATGAGGCCTGGATGGGATGGGAAGAGGGGCAAGAAGAGAAAATTGACATTTTTCTATTAACTCATAGTGAAATAAACTTTGTAAACTGCCTTTCCCTTGAATGCATTTTGTGTGAATAAAACTCTGAAAAATAATTATATGTAGCCTATTTGTAAACAAAATAATATTCCAAAAATACACACTGTGCTTCTGAATTGAAGGCCTTACGTAGTCTAATTGCTCTGCTTGTTTTTTTGTGATTCAGTCTGTTGTATACTTAAATGTACTTCAAGTATTGTGGAAACTTTGGTTAAGATGTGTTGATTAACAGTAAATGATATTCCACACACTTGCTGTTCTGTGTCTCTTTTTTTGGCTTGTGGGGGGTTGTTTTTGTTGTTTGTTTTAAGAAATAGAAACAGTTGCTTGCAATATCAAAATACAAGCAACTCCCCGTTTACCCTAGGAAATTTGAGACCTAAAGCAGTAATGCAATGCTTTGAATTGTCAGCACATTTCTTTATCAGCAACTGCCGTTCTGCTCACCCTCCCACTCCCATGCTGTCTTACTACTATTTGCCATTCACCATACAGGCTTTCTGCTATGAAGCTACTTACATAAACATTCTTCCGTAATGAGTTCTGCTTTAGCCTCCTTTGAAGTTAAAAAGCAGTCTTGTCTTGTGCTCTTTGGTTAGTTAATTGAGTAGAAATAAATTTGTTCTCAGTCAACCGGGTTCCTGTTTGTTCTTGTTTATCTTGAAGTATGCTTCAGTGTGCTCTGAAATTCAGAGTATATTCAGGGACAATAATGTTAGACTTAAGGATTTTCATCCTAACCCAAGACTCTTGTAATTGGAAGTGTGCTTAAGTAGATTTGTAACTCAGCTTTATTACATCATATTAAATACATAGTTTGATTTCTTTTTCTTACTGCCTTCCAGGCACTATCTCTGTTATAGATGGAAATCATTACCATTAAGTGTTTAAGTGCTTTCTTTGTGATAAATGAAGCCTGTTTTGAGACTCCTGTTCAGAAGTTCACAAATAAAGAATGTAGAAGTGCAATCATAAGTGATGCAGATTGGCTGTATTTTGACTGCCCGCAAATTTCAGGCAGATGATCAAGTGTCAGCACAAGAACTATCTGATTGTGCCAGGGAATATTATGGCACCCTGTCATTGAAAAGACAGAAAAGGTGGTGTAGCAGTTTTGTTGCTTTTGTTTCTGTGTGTTGTTGAAGCAGAACAAAAGGCCTGACTGTTTTGTCTTCAGTATATGCAGCTGTGCTGGATTACACTGGTGAATAAAGATTCTGGACTCTTTGGCACCACTTATGCATGGTTAATTATTGCCAGTTCGTTCTGATTTGTGTCTTACACCTAGATATTTCAGGTGAGTCGTTTACTTGAGGGAATGAGAATTGGTGTTAGGTATAGCCTAACTTGTATTGTGGATCATATTATGACAGAAAACTTGTTAGTGACGGAAAGCAGCTCTGAGCTGTGTTGCAGCTAGGAGGAAAACATTTGAAATCCTGGTTGTCTTGTCCTTAAACCATCATTTTGGTGAAATTGACAATGGGCTGTTGTTTAATGTTATAAATGCAATTGTCTCATGAAAAATAAGACTTGACTTGGCATTCATTAGCAAGACAATATCTGCATTTTAGGGGAAAAAAAGAGCATTTTGTGAAGCTCTTTGTCTCATTCCTGTTTTTTTCTTTATGAGACAAATACTTGACAGTACACTCTTTTTAAGTTCTGTAAACCTTTGCAAATCAACTTTAAAAAATAAATATGAGATTACCTTTTAAAGGTGGAGTCTTTTGGGACATGTTTTGCTGTGTCACATTCATAGCTGCATAGAGCTCCCCTCTCTTTACTGTCTGCTTGTGGCAGCAAAGAATTCTTATGTATGCTGTTAGCTGCTCTTATTGACTGATTTCAGGCTTTATTTTTGTGGGAAAAAAAATCCCTGTTAACTTTTGGACTTCTTTAATTGGATGGCATTGGGCAGCAGGGCTAGCTACTTAGCACCTCTCATGTGGAATATTCAAGCTCCTACAGACACTTAATTTTTCTCACTATACAATAGGCATTGCTAATATCTTAAAGTCAAAAATAAGCAAAATAGTGTGTAAGTAGGGGGCTGATTAATTGAAAACTTGCCAGGAAAGAGGCTCAGGACCCTGTTGGACTATAAGCTGACCATAAGCCAAGAAAGCACTTTACAGCAAAGACAACCAACAGTATCCCAGGCTGCATTAGGCAGAGATTTGCCAGCAGGTCACGGGAAGCAGTCTCATTTCTCTGTGCTGTGAGTGCAGATGCATGTGGAGTGCTGGGTCTAGGTCTGGGCTCCTCAGGGAAATTGAAGATATGGATGCATAGGAGCAAGTCCAGTGCAGGGCCAGAACAGTGACTGAAGGACTGGAGCATCTGTGATAAGGACAGAGGCTGAGAGAGCTGGTGTTCATCCTAAAGAAAACGTTTGGCAGGGTATTAACCGTGTGTGTGAATATTGAAGGGAGGGAAGGAGTGCAAAGAGCTGAACGACATTCCCCAGTACTGCCCACTGAGAGGACAAGAGTCAGTGAGCACACACTGAAAACCAGGAAATCTTATCTGAAATCAGAAAACAACCTTTTTTTTTCTGTGAGGGACATCAAACACTGGAACTGACGGGAGGTCCTGTGTTTACAGATGGTCAGAACTCAGCTGAGCACAGCCCTAGGTGGACCTGCTGTAGCTGACCCTGCTCTGAGCACAAGAGTCAGAGGAGATGATCTCAAGGGGTACCATTCAGCCTCCACCATTCTGTGGTTTTGTGAAGAATACAAATAATTTAGATGGTTGGCATTACTCATATTTGTGTGCCATCAGAAGTGAAGACTGTTGACGCACAAGAATTATCTTCACTTGGTGCTCCCTACTTTTAATGTTTTATTTTTAAGCAACATAAAGCTAAAACATGACTGCCATGGAAAGAGCCCTTTTTCTCTTAATCCTGAGACCACCGCTGATGTGCAGTTGCTGAGGCAGACTAATACCTAAATTTATACCACAGACTGTTGTAAGGGATCACATTGCTACAGTGTACTACAAAAGGAAGATTGAAAATCCAGATGCAAAATATAAGCATGTATCCTGAAAAGAGGAAAAGTGCTTGAAAGGTATCTTAAACATTCTCAAAGATGGGAATGTTGCACTATCATGCTAGGTGCTTAGCAAGCAGTAGAGGAGACTGAATGGAGATAGGGTTTGTTTGAATTTTTTCAATAAAATTGGATAATAAAGCTTTTTCTACTTCTGTAATGTCTGTAAAACAAAAATGAAATGTTGTTTATGGGGATGTTTGTCATTAGCTAGTAACTGTGCATCAGGCTTACTCCCCATCACTTAAACAGTTCTAATAACTTGACTCTTTCTGATTGTTAGTGAAAACCAATTGAGCTTAAGTAGTACCAGACTGAAAGGTAAGCATGATATAGCATTAGAACTCTTTAACACTCCGCAAGTGAGGAAAGGCCAACCATGAAAAATTTTCTCAGCATCAGCTTTTCCCTAGAGACATTAGTAAGGTGTCTTAGTTAAATAATCTATTTCAAAATAATTAGAAAACCTCAAAAGGGTTTTGCTGCCTAGAGGACATTTTGTGGTGGGTAAAGGAGGCATCATACAAATGCATGTAATTTTAATGTTTCATTTTCAATTTTTTTTGCATAAAGAGGGCAAATAGTTTTCTAACCTTCATCTGGCACTGAAAAGAAGACATGAAAGAGACATTAGTGATGATAGTCAATTTATCTTCATATTAGGCTAGAAGCTGTGTGCACCTCAAGTAGGCAGCTGAGCCCTGTCTCCTCATAAAACATGGATTATATCCCCGTGAATGTATGTAGTGGGTTGACCCTGGCTGGCCAGGCAGCCAAAGGTGCTCTATCACCCCCCTCCACAAATGGACAGGGGAGAAAAAATACAACAAAAAGTTCATGAGTTGAGGTAAGAACAGGGAGAGATCACTCATCAAATAACGTCATGGGCAAAGCAGACTCAGCGTGGGGAAATTAAGTGATTTTATTACTAATAAGATCAGAGCAGGATAATAAGAAAATAAAACAGCTCTTAAAAAATTGTGTTCCCCCACCCCTCTTTCCTTCCCAAATCTACCTCCTCCCCACCAGTGGTGCAGGGAGACGGGAAGTGGGTGTTACAGTCAGTTCATTACACACTGTTTCTGCTACTGCTCTGAGGGACAGCAAGTCCTTCCCCTGCTCCACCATAAGGTCCCTCCCATGGGAGACAGCTTCCAAGAACTCTTCCAGCATGAGTCCTTCCCACAGCCTACAGTTCTCCACAAACTGCTGCACATGGTTCATTCTCCATAGCATGCAGATGCTCAGGAACAACCTGCTCTAGCATGGGTCCCCCCCAGATCACAAGACCTACCTGGAAGCCAGCTCTGGTGTGGGTCTCCTCCCTCCATGGGTCCACAGGTCCCTGCTAGGAGTCTGCTCCAGCAGGGGTTTCCCATGGGTTCACAGCCTTTGCGCATCCACCTGCTCCAGCATATAGGTCCACAGACCGCAGATGGATCT